GCATCAGCACACGTTATACATAGGCCTACTATAATAACACATAGGCCTAAGCGTGAATTAAATAAATCTTAAAACCGTAAAACCCGGGCCAGGTCTTTTCAGATACAGAAATGTGCAATTGTATGGTTCAGTTTGGTTTTTATCCTTTTGCAAGCTCTATAAAGTTTTGTTTTAATACTACAGTACTACTAGTAGTAATAATAATAATAATTACGATGATGACGACGATGATGATGACGATGGTGATAATAGCTAATAATATTAATATTTAAAAGTGAAGAAAATTGTGCTAAAAGCGAAAAAGTAAGTTGTGATTTGTTGATCACAATTATTATAGCATAAGTATAGTCAAAGCTTACCTATATAGTTAGGCCTAAGTTGTTCTGGATATTAAGTAGATCCCTGATAAAAGATCATGAGAAATTTGTTTGCGCTTCATTTGACTATATAATGATGATGATGATGTGATGATGACGAATTTTACTATATAAAAGTGTCATTTCTGGCCATCTAGAGGTACTATTTCCTCAAATTTTCTCACCTCATTCCAATCTATGGTGGGGCTGCATGAGGTGGTTGTGAAATCGACTCCCGAAATGCCCACCACCCCCCAACCTCCACTTTTCATAACAGATTGCGCCCAGCCTTCCTGGGTATGACATTAAACTCCATCAAGTCGACACCTGACTCAGAGTACACTATGTCTTAGTGACTGCTGATGACGCGAGAATGCATTAATTTGTTTTTAGGATGTGATCTAACATCTTTTAGGATGTTTTACGTGCCCATTTTTCGTGATTATGACTATTTCGGATAAAGAATGTTTTGAGCAGACAGTGGTGAATTCAAGGCCACCCTCCTACCTAATTTTTTTTTATGGAAAAAAAAAGAGAAAAACTTAGGCCCCCTATCCAAATTTAAGTCTGAAACTGTAAATTCAGGCCGTCTAGAGGTGCCCTAATCATAAATTTTCTAAACTCAGCCCCAACCATGGTGGGGCTGAGGTGGGTGGTTCTTCAATCTGTGAAAGTCCCTCCCTGGATCGCCTCTCTATTGAATACCTGGATCCACCATTGTTGAGTTTTATATAACTATTGTTAGGCTTACTAATATTTTTTACGATGCGTTTATTACAATTTTCACTTTATCATCTCAAAACAGTCTTCAGAGCGCTACTTTTCAGGGGGGCTTCACCCCTGGACCCCTGGGGTCCTACGTACCTCGCATAACACCTCTCCCTTTCAAAATCCTGGCTCGTCCCTGGATGACACTGATCTTTTTATTTGAATTTTGTAGAATGTACATTCTCTAATTGTCACAAATGTATCTGTTCACCCGAAAGTTTTGAGTGCGACTGCGAATTGAGATATGATCTATTATGAATTTAAATTTCTAAATAACGTTTTGTGATGATAGATGTGGATGAGTGTAAAGACGGTACTGATGGATGTTCCCAACTTTGCTTCAACACTATTGGCAACTTCACCTGTGGTTGCAACGACGGCTGGACACTTGATTCCGATAGAAAAATCTGCACTGGTATGTTTTGAAACCTAATTTTATTAACGCAACGTGCATTGCAGCTAGACGGTCGCTTATATACTGAGAAAAACTAGCTGAGACATTATTAATAACAAACCAACATTTAAGACATATGATATATTTTATAGTTTTTATACTTATATAACACTGTAATAAATCAGTAACACTCTAAAAATTCGTATCGCATCTTGTAATCATAATGCTTACACAAGTTCCAGTAAAGCTTATTTAGCTGACCATCGTTTCCCTAGCCAAATTTCTTTGTGATGCTTATGGAGTGCACTTAAAGTCAGGCTCCGGAGGAAAAAAATTTGTTGATATGTTGTAAAACTGATTTTTCTAAGACAGAAAAAAGTTGTTTGACGAAAAACTGGGGAACGGTGAATGAGATACAGATTTTTTAATACAAATAAAATCTGTATCTCACTCACCGTTCCCCAGTTTTTCGTCAAACAACTTTTTTCCGTCTTAGAAAAATCAGTTCTACAACATATCAAAAATTTGTTTTCCTCCGGAGCCCTGACTTTAACACCAGAGTGAAGCTAATCATATTGACCATCGTTCCTCTAGTCAAGTCTAATTATATGATGCTTGGGGAGTTTAGCGATGGTCAAGTAATCAGCGTTACGCTGTACTCTGGTGTAAAGTTGATTCAGCGAATCTGATTCTAAATATTATGAAATTAAATATAATTCTAAATATGTCCCTTTATGATGATGAGTGTGTAGACATTATAGAAGGATGTACTAAACTTTGTTCCAACACTATTGGGTCCTTTACCATTGCAAGGACGGCTGGACCCTTGACTCCGATGGGAAAAGTTGCACAGGTATATTTTAAGAAATTAATATTTTTTATTATTACGTAACGTGCATTGCAGCTTGACTATTTCTATATCAATGAATGGGTATAGAGCCGATATATCTAAATGTATCCAGATAGGTTCAAAATTATTGATTGGTAACTTTACTTGTGACTGCTACTACGAAGACGATAACGAACGATAACAACAATGATATATATAATGAAGATGATAAATAACAAATCTCATAATCATTATTCGTTGTTTTGTTGTTATATTAGGTTGCGAACCCGGCAAGTATGGTGCTGACTGTCATGAAGATTGTCATTGCAACGCTACTGAGTGTGATCATGTCAATGGCTGCCATGAGAATGCAACATGCACCTCTGGCTACAGTGGTAAAAGATGTTTAGGTAACGAGATCAAACTAACGTAGACCTATAATTTAACATTATAGCTCCATGATAGTTTGTATATAGATCAGTCTTTTGTTAGTCTGTTTAAATGAAATCGCGAACCCTCTCGGTAAATGATGAAGAATGGTCAATAACATTTCTTAATACACATAAAAAGGCAAGGACGGCTGGACCCTTGACTCCGATGAGAAAAGCTGCACAGGTATATTTTAAGAAATTAATATTTTTTATTATTACGTAACGTGCATTGCAGCTTGACTATTTCTATATCAGTGAATGGGTATAGAGCCGATATAGCTAAATGTATCCTGATAGGTTCAAAATTATTGATTGGTAACTTTACTTGTGACTGCAACTACGAAGACGATAACGAACGATAACAACAATGATATATATAATGAAGATGATAAATAACAAATCTCATAATCATTATTCGTTGCTTTGTTGTTATATTAGGTTGCGAACCCGGCAAGTATGGTGC